GTTTTTCTGTGTATCTTTGTCCATCCTGGAACTTGCTCTATAAGCCAGGCTGACCTTGAACTCAGAGAACCAAGCACTGGGGGTAAAGGCATGCACCACCTGCCTGGCTTAGTCAGCATATTTCTATAACAACAAAAATAATAATACAGAAAAGTCTCACAAATTATTTATATTAATATGTACATTTTAGTTATATATGCACAAATACATACATATATAAATCTGGGAGGGTTTGGCATATTTGAGAATAGAGAAAAGATAGCATGGTTAGGATTTCTTTTGTATTGGTTACATGAATAGAAAAATTAATCCAGGTCCTGAAACTGGAGATGCTGGTTGACTTTGAGAATGTCCTTGAGAACAGTAGCATGTGTCATCTGGAGGCCTCTGGGCTGTCAGTCATCTGCATTTTTTATGCAAGTGATAATTTCTTTTTGCAGTCATTTAAACCTCACTTTTATATATGAATGTGATACTGCACTTAAATTTCAAATTTTTCCTCATTTGTTTTTTGGAAACAGGATCTTGCTATGTAGCCCAGGATGCCCTTGAACTTAACATTCCTTCTGAATTTGTCTTCCAAGTGCTGGAATTTCGGGTGTATAATGCCTTGCCTGGTTACTTTTGATCTTTGAAATATCAAAACCAAGTGTCTCTCCAAAGGTTCAGTGGATAGCAGGGAGGGAAAAACAGGGTAGAAGTGAAATACCAAGGAGAGAGTCAATCATGGCATTCAAAATGATCTTCTGCAGTGTTAAATGAGAATTCTGTGTGTGGTTAGGTGTGTATGTATACACGTGTATACTGGTCTGAATGGACATGTGTGTAGAAGCCAGAGGTCAACCCCTGGTTGTTTGGGGTTTTGCAGTTATTTTCCCCCTTTTTTTTTGGCCTGGACATCGATGACTAGTCTAGACAGGGTATCTGGTCAGTGATGCCCTGGGATCCACCTGTCTCTGTCTCCTGAGTGTTGGGACTGCAAATGGATGCCATCTTATGCATCTTTTTGACATGGATCCTGGGAATCAAACTCAGCTCCTCATGCTTGCACAGCAAACACATTATAGCCTGAACTGTCTCCTTAATCCTTGAAAAGAATTCATTCGTTGTAATTTGGCCCAGGAGCAGAGCTACTCATCCAGGGAACCCCAATTTATCCCTGTTCTGTGCATCTGGTGGATATAAAGCAGAAAAATTCATCGTTTGTTTTGGACGATGAAGAGACTGAAGCAAGCACCATCCACAATGACGCATCTGAGGTCATAGGTAAGGATGACTGAAAGCATTGTTCCAGGTTTCCAGGCAAGGGGCTTAATCATGTCATTAGGGTCCTTCAGGGCAATGGGATAGCCAATGGGAGTCATGAAGGAAAAGAGGCCCAACCAAAGGCAACCTCCAGCTTAGCAGAAGGAACTGGGAAAATTGAAGGCAGAAATGAGAAATGGAGGTTAATAAATTTTGAGACCTGGTTTGTTTCTCTAAAGAAAGAGAAGGCAGCTGAATGTGAATGTGTCAGGATGGTGGTGGTGGGCAGTAAGTGTTAAGAAGAGAGAAAACATCAGGGAACCAAAGTTATGTACTACAAGAGAAGGACAGGGAAACATTCCAAGTACCAAGTGGTCCATCACCAGGTACAGATGAAGAAGAGGAGTGATGGGCAGAGACAAGAAGAAAGCTAAGGAGGAAAACAGGAGGGAAAAAAAGAGACAGGTGAGGGAGTGAGGAAGGGAGAACCAGAATGAGGATGCAGACAAGATGCATGTCAGTGGCTGAGGGAACACCTCCATGGCAGTTGCTTAGGTCGTTGGTTCACAGCCTTGCAAGGAAGGATGTTCAGCCTTGAGTTAACTCTTCCTAGTGTTCACACTCAGGAGTTCCCTGCCGTGTGTGTGCCTGCTATCTCCCATAAGATGCTGTGGGTTATTTGATCACACTGTGTGAAAATGTGTCACTGTTTTACCACAATTGCCTAAGGCACCTTCTGATTGGTTTAATAAAGAGCTGAATGGCCAATAGCTAGGCAGAAGAGGATAGGTGGGACTTCCAGGCACAGCTAGGAACTCTGGGAAAGTACTGAGAGGTGGGGGTTCACCAGGCACACGAAAAGGAAGTTGGGTGTACTCTACTGAGGAGAGGTAAGGAGCCACAGGGTAGAATGCAGATTATTATAAACGGGTTAACTTAAGTTTTCAGAGCTATGCGATGGCCAAGCTTTCATAATTAATAAGTAGTCTCTGTGTCGTTATTTGGGAGCAAGTGGTTCAAAGAAAGTCTGACTATGCTAAGACATTTAAGGAATTTCTTCCTTTCCTTTGTGTAGATCTCAGCAGTGAGGATTCTGATGATGGAAACAACCACTCAGAAGAATCCACCTCTGGCATCTGCAAGCCAAGTAAGGAATCCCAGAGAGCAAGACAGGCTGTGGGCATCTGAATCTCAAGCCACTGTTTTATGATGGGTTTTGTTCTCTGTCTGTTCTGTGTGGTGGAGGGAAATTGTTGCATACAGTTTTGGGATTTAAGCTTGCCATTCAATGGATTCTATTAGTAGATATAGTCATCCATTGTTAACATGATATAAACAGGCAGGGGTGTGTGTGTGTGTGTGTGTGTGTGTGTGTGTGTGTGTGTGTGCACATGTACACCCAGGCATGTGTTCCTGTGTACAAGTACTGGTGTGCACATTCATGGAGGTCAGAGGACAATCCCAGGTGTTGGTCCTTACCTTCCACTTTATTTGAGACCTTGCCTCTTACTCATTGATGCCTATGCCAGGCTATCTGGACCCCAGGCTTCCAGGGATTCTGTCTCAGCCTCCTGTCCTGCAGTATGAACTCTAGCATTACAGACCCATTCTGCAATGTCTGACCTTACATCTTGGGTCTGGGGATCTGGAATAAGGCCCATATGCTTTTACAAGAAGAACTTTAACTACTGAGCCATCCCTCTAGCCTCAATGAGTTTGTGTTTTAAACTAATTATCGTGTTTACTGATAGTTAGACTCATTCAATCATTTCTATGGAGAACAGAAAGCTTTCCACTCCTGTATTGAAAGGTCTTTATGTCCTCTGAGCAGAAACTTAACCTAGAGTCCAAGGACAACTCATCTAGCTACCTTATGTAGACAGAAAGAGAGGCTTAAGATAGAACATTCTGAAACCCAAAGTACTGTTTCTAACAAAGTTCTTCACAGAGTCATGGCTGGTGGAGTGATTATTCAAATGATTTTACAAATAATGTGCACTTATTTCTTTACATCATCTTTAAAGAACAAATATAACAGACATCAATAACCTCTTTCCTAGTTAAAAAAAAAATCACATACAACATATGT